TTTTTAAATTATGTCTGTTTATTTTAAACATCAATGTAAAATTATATTTAATTCATTATAATACTAATATTATAACAAAATATTATATTTAAAAAATTTTAAGATATTCTAATATTAATTTCACTATATTTGAACATTTTAAACAATTTTATCATATTAATACGACGATTGAAGTATAAAAGAACGACCTAATAAATTAATAATATTAATAAAACATTGAGTGCAATTTTCATTGACAATGATTATTACAGCAACATAAACTAGTTTTAAATGTCTATAATTTTTTCTCGGAAAATATTCAAGAAACACTTCGTTGTTCTCAATCTGCTTGGCCATTTAATTACTGCTATGTCATACTGTCGCTTCTGAGTGTTGCCTCGATTATAAATGTAAATTTGAAACAACGCATATTAAACTTCCTACAAGATAAAATTCATAAACCAAGATTCATATCTAAATGCTTTTGTTCCTGTTAATTAAGAATTCACGATGGCGTCGAAGATAAAATGCACGCTTACAATAGGCATTATATTGAAATGTAAACATTCGTGTGTTTATTTTTACACGAAGCGGTTAGCTAATTACGTGAATAATTATTACTCAAAAATTCATTATATAAAATGTTTCGTAAAATTTCTTCGATGAATTTTTAGAGGATTCCTAAGTCAAGAATTGACCAAAGATTCTCTAGAAAGAAAGGAACGAAGAAAATGTAGATCAGTGATTTTTAATTTCTTTTATTTGATCATATACATGAATTAATTGCTGAAATTTGTAAACAAAAAATTTTGCTAAAAAATTTTCAACAGTTGGACGTCAGATAACTCGGGATTGTCGTGTTGAATAATTTAGAGTTTTCTCTTTTTGTTGAGGATAATATACTCATTAGTAGTACACTAAATTATTTAATAAATTATTTTTAATAGTTGCTGGCACGTGATAATAATTTCTGTTTTGAAAACTTGGACACAACTATGAACCTTCCATTATATCCTTATAGTAGCAAAAATTATAACTGCAATAATTTTTGTTAAAAGATCTTGAACATACCTATGAACTCTTTATTATAATTCTATATATAATTGTGAGAATTATAAGCACACTAATTTTTATTAAAAGGTCTTGACACCTATGAACACCTATGAATACCTATGAGTTATTTACAATGTTAAATTTTATTAAATATCAAGATAGTAATTTTCATTTTATAAGAATTTTAAAAAAATGAAAATTACTACCTTGATAATAATCAATATATTAGGAAAATTAATTAATATTTAATTATTTTATTTATTTAATTTAATTTTTGTAATTCGTTAATTAGGATTTAGTAGAATATAAATTTAGTTTTATTAAATTGTTATAGCTATTACAGTTTAATAAAATTTGACTAGAAAATTTAATTCTATATGTAGGTATGAAAGTTACAACTACAATAGTTTCTACTAAAAAATTGATGAATCTTCCACAACATTGATTTCATGATAATTAAAATTATGAGCACAATAACGTCTATTAAAAAATTAATAATAGTTTCTACTAAAAAATTTATGAATCTTTTACAACAGCTTTATAATAATTAAAATCATAGACATAATAACGTCTATTAAACAAATTTGAATATATCTGTAAATAATTTATAACACTAAAATAGCAATGAAAATCAGCCACAATAATTTCTATTCAAAAATTTTGAACATACCTATGAATCACTTTTAGTACCTCTATAGTGGGGAAAATTACTATCACAATAATTTCTATTGAGATATATTGAACACACCTATGATTCTTCTGCAACAGATCTATAATAGCCAAACTTAGATCCATAATAATTTCTATTAAGAATAAGGTTCATCATACTTATGAATTTTCCATATCGTTATAGTAGTAAAAATTATGGTTACCATAATTTTTGCTAAAAAAATTTGAATACGCTTATGAGCCATTTTCAGTATCTCTATAATAATAAAAATTATTACATTAATAATTATTATTAACAATATTCTTCACCACACTTA